ACCCATACCTCTGCCCTTCGGTCTCGTCTTCCCCTGTTTGGGCCTCCTGGGAGGCGCTCGTCGTCACCGCCGGATTCGCATCGAAATTCTGGTCAGAACGCACCCCGGGAGAGGTCCAGGGGGTAGCGGTATCGCCTCCTCGTCATTCGTCCCGCCTCCCCCTCCTCCTCCTCCTCCTCCTCCTCCTCCTCCTCCTCCTCCTCCTCCTCCCTCGTCCCTACTCGCCCTCCTCCTCCCCCTCCTCCTGCTCCTCCTTTTTACTTTGGCCAAATATAAGCATCAAGCCTGCTGCTGCTGTACCTTTGGGTCTCCCCAAAGGAGTGCGCAGGGGCGGCCTCGGGCACCGGAGGCCCCAGCCTGCCCGAAGGTGAGAGCCGCCAGTGCGAGCTGCCGAAGGAAGGGCAGCGCAGGTCCCACCAGAGAGGCAAGCCGTCCACCACTGGGCGGTGCCCTGGCGAAGGGCCCAGCCATGCACGCCGGTCGTTGGAAGTAGGTATTTTTGGATTCCCGGATCCCGATCTACTTCAAGTGCCTTCCTGCTTCAAGAATCGGCATGCTGTTGCTGTGTTTTGTTATTATCTGGGAGGACCTGGAATCAATCCACTACATCTGCCTTCCTACTTCATGTTTCTACCTACTTCTTCCGATCGACGTGTATATGCAGTTGTGAGTACCGCCGCTGCGAGAGCCGCCTGCGGTGGAGGTCCCCATGGGGCCACGAAGCGCGCGAGGGGAGCGCCAAAATGGGGCGGGGCCGCCATGTGAGCGCTGCCGCTGATACATGAGATTTAGATAGCAATGGGGCCGCGAAGCGCGTGATGGGAGCGCCGAAACGCGCGAGAGGCATGCAAACACCGCGAGGGAGTTCAGACGAGGGAGGGAGCGGCACATTCTTTGAATTTCGAAACATCTGCAGCTTGTCTTCTCTGACAAGCAAAGCGCCGCGGGAAGGGTAAGGCCCGGGAAAAATGCGAAGGGTATGCCAAAATGAGGGGAGGGGGGTGCGACATTTTGGGGGATCTGCATTGGCGGCACCTTCAGCCCAGAAAAGCTAGAGAGGAAAATAATTAGGACAACCAGGAAAAAGTATGTGTTCTCACAAGGGAACAATCGGACAAATCTAGGAAGACCTGTGACCGTCGGCCTTTTTATGGCGCGAACGTCCCATACTTAAAATCCTTGTGTAGCAGCCTTTACAACAGGATTCTGTTTGTGGCGACCTTACACAAGGATTTCACGTGGGGGGGATCTGCAGTGGCCTCCTCACTTAGAATCCTTTTGCAACAGCCTTCACAAAGGGATTTGTTGCAGTGTTCTTACACAAGGGTTTTCATTGTGGAGGGATCTGCAGTGGCGGCACCTTGAGCCCAGGAAAGCTAGAGAGGAGCACATGGAAAAACAGTAAAAACTTGCGTTCTCACAGTAAAAATACGAAAGAGCTTGGAAGACCTGTGATTGACAGTACTTTTGTGGTGCTGAGTGACAATCTTGGTGTAGCAGTTTTTGCAAAAGGATTCCTTGTGTGATGACCTTACAAAACGATTGCAGCTGTGGGGGACCTGCAGTGTCCTCCACACTTGGAAACCTTATGCAACAGCATTTACACAGGGAATCCTTATGTGGCGGCCTGACAACATGGTTTGGTGGGGGATTTGCTCTGCGCAAAAGGAACAAGTTGTAAAGGTTGTTACAACAATGATTCTGAGTCTGGATGTGACTGCAGGTAGGTCCCCCGCACTTAAAGTCTTTGGTGTGAGGTTGTCACAAGAGGAATCCGTTCGCAAAGGCTGCTACAAAAGTGTTTTAATTGTGGAACGTCTGCACCATAAAAGCACCGACAATCACAGGTATTCCTAGTGTGTCTCCGATTCTTCCTTCGAGAACATATGAAGTTGAATGTGTCCTCTCTAGCTTTTCTGGGCTCAAGGTGCCGCCACTGCAGATCTCCAACATTTAGAACCCTGTTGCAAGACCGCCATTATGTTGCAAATGCTGCTGCAAAATGATTATATGATTCTAAGTGTGGAGGCCACTGCAGGTCCCCCCCCTCATGTTAAATCCTTGTGTAAGGTCGCCGCAAAAAGGAATCCGTTTTGCAATGGCTGATACGAAAATGAGTTGAATTGTGGAACGCCTGACTCGCTTGTTCCTGGTTTTCGTGTTTTTTGTCACGGTTTCCTCTTTAGTTCTCTTGGGTTCAAGGTGCCGCCACTTCAGATCCCCCCACAATGAAAACCATTTTGGTAAGGCCGCCACAAAAGGATTCCCGTTGTGAAGGCTGTTGCACAAGGATCCTGACGTGAAGTCCCCCTCACGTGAAATCCTTGTGTGGGGTCGCCACAACAAGGAATCCTGTTGTATAGGCTGCTACACATGGTTTCACTTGTGGAACCTCTGCACCATAAAAGTACCGACAGTCGCAGGTCTTTCTAGCTTGTTATTGTTTTCCCTTGTGAGGACACAGGCTTGTTCCTGTGTTTCCTGTTTTTTCTCGTTTCTGCTTTAGCTCTCCTGGGCTCAAGGTGCCGCCACGGCAGGTCCCCCACATTTAAAACCCGTGTAAAGCCACCACACATGGACTCCTTTGGTAAAGGCTGTTACGAAAAGGATTATAGTTGCGGGGAGTTTCCATGTGAGGGATACAGAAGAGCTGGGCAAACGAGAAGAAGGGTATAAAGAAGTTCGTGAAGAATCAAATGGTGAATCACCATATCAGGGATCACCAATGCTTGTAGACGAGAAATGCGCTGGATGTAATCGCACAGACGAAGGGGCCTACCGGGGGGGGCATGCGGGCGCAGCCATTGGTGCCTTCGATGAAGCTCCCTATGGGGCCACGAAACGTGCGAACGCAGCCACTAGGGCCTTAGATGTAGCGCCCTATGGGGCCACGGAACCTGTGAGGTGCGTGTCAAACTGAGGAGGGTGGCGGCATGCGAACGCAGCCAGAGGTGCCTTAGGTGTAGCTCCCCATGGGGCCGCCACGAAGCGTGTGATGGGTGTGCCAAAGTGGGGGGGGTGCGAACGCAGCCACGGAGGCTTTAGGTGTAGACCCTTTATAGAGGCCGTGAAGCGCGTCAGTGCTGTGTTGCAAAGCGGGCGGGGTTGGGGGGCGGCATGCGAACGCAGCCATTGGGGCGTTCGGTTGGCCTCCCGATGCGGCTACGAAGCGTGTGGGGTGTGTGCGAAAGTGAGGGGGGGTGGGGTGGCGGCATACGAACGCAGCCATTGGGGCCTTCGGTGGAGCTCCCCATGAGACCACGAAACGTTTGAGGGATGTGCCAGAGTGAGGGGGGGGCGGCATGCGAACGCAGCCACTGGGGTCTTCGGTGGAGCTGCCTATGGGGCTACGAAGGGTGCGGAGGGTGTGCCAACGTGAGGGGGGTGGCGGCATGCGAACGCAGCCACTGGGGTCTTCGGTGGGGCTGCCCAGGAGGCCACGGAGCGTGTGAGGAGTGTGTCAAACTGAGAGGGTGGCAGGATGCGAACGCAGCCCATGGGGGCCTTCGGTGGAGCTCTCTATGGGGCCGCGGAACGTGTGAGGTGGTGTGTGTGTGTGTGTGTCAGTGTGTGTGTGTGTGTGTGTGTGTGTCAGTGTGTGTGTGTGCGTGCGTGCGTGCGTGCGTGCGTGCGTACGCACGCGTGGTGTGTGTGTGTGTGTGGAGTGTGTGCGTGTGTGATTGAGAGAGAGAGAGAGAGAGAGTGTGTCTGTGTGTGCGTATGTACGAATGTGTTTGTGTGTGGTTGTGTGTATGTATGTATGTGCGTAGGTGCGCGTGTGTGTGTGTGTGAGTGTGAGTGTGAGTGTGAGTGTGAGTGTCTGTGTGTGCGAATGTACGAATGTGTTTGTGTGCGTGGTTGTGTGTATGTTTGTGCATAGGTGTGCGTGTGGGTGTGTGTGTGTGAGTGTCTGTGTGTGCGTGTGTGCGAATGTGTTTGTGTAAGTGGTTGTGTGTGTTTGTGCGTAGGTGGGCGTATGTGTTTGCGTGGGTGCGTATGTGTGTGAGTGTGGATGTGTGTGTGTGTGTGTATTGATGCGTGTGTGCGTGTGCGTGTGCGCGTGTGTGTGTGTGTGTGTTTGTGTGTGTGAGTGTCAGTGTGTGTATGTGTTTGTTTGGTGGAGTCCCCTTTTATGGAATCGCAAAACGTGTGTGTGGGGGGGTGCCCAAGTGACGGGGGTGACGAATGCAGCCTTTGAGGCCTTCGGTGGGGCCCGCAATGGGGCGACGAAGCGTGTGAGGGATTTGCCAAAGTGAGGGCGGGGCGGCATGCGAACGCAGCCACTGGGGCCTGTGGTGGAGCCCCCTTTATGGGGCCACGAAGCGTGTGAGGGGCGTGCCGAAGCTGAAGCCAGTGACGATGATGGCGATGATGATGGCGATGATGTTGATGATGGCGAAGATTATGATGATGAAGACTAAGATGACGGTAATGGTGATGATTGTGATGATGATGCAGGACGAGGAAGAGACGATGATGATGAAGAAGGTGATGATGATGACGTTGAGGATGATGATGATGGTGGTCGTGTTGGTGGTGGTGATGGTGACGACGATGATGATGAGACTGACGATGATGATGATGATGATGAAGATGATGAAGATGTTGAAGCTGATGATGATGACTTGTGATGATGGTGATGATGATGATACTGATACTGATACTGATACTGATACTGATTCTGCTGTTGAGGATGAGTGTGATGATGATGAGGATGATGAGGGGGAGGAGGAGGACATGCAGGGGGCATATGCAAACTGATTTGAATGGTGATGATGATGCTGATGATGATGACGATAAGGACATGCAGGGGGCAGAGGCGAAGGCGGGAGGAGGGAGGAGGGGGAGGAGGAGAGGAACACGGGGCGCCCGCTGTATGTTCAAAAAGGAGACCCATCACCAAAGGATGGTTGGGAAAAGCACACATAAAGAATTTGCCGAGAGTGTCTCGCGACGCGATGATGCCAGTTGGAAGTCTCGGCGAAACCGCGTGTCGGCAGGTGCAGCACGGCGACAAGCTGCAGGACTACGTGGTGCCCGTGGCCAACATGGTATTGCACGCGCCGTGCCAGGCGCCGCAGTATCGGGCTCCCTTCTGAGAACGTCACAGCGACCACACCCGAAACGGCCAGACCCAAGACGACCACTCCAAACTCGCTCAGGCCTGCTCAAGAGCATTAGCATATAGGAAGCCGACGTACACCTCTTACGCACACCCTTCGACCCCACACGCCCACCTCACGTACGCAGTTCTACAGTCAACCCGAATAGTAAGGATGGGCCACCTTCCCAAGGGTACCCTTGCATCCCTGCCTCCTCTGTCCATCCTTGGCCACTTTCGTTGGCCGCGCCCCGCTCGAATAGCTTCGAAATGGGCGTGCAAGGCTCTTGCGTCCTTATCGCGCATCCTTACTATACGGGTTGACTGTGGTTTGGCCTCCCAGGGCTTCTAAACTATCAGACAAGACCCAGCCGCTGCCCACGCCAGGGCCCCCCCCCCCTCCTGCCGGGCGTGCGACCGCCGCCGCCGCGGCGTGAGGACCCGCCCAAGGGGGCCACTTTAAGTCGGGCGTGTCCCTCTACAGGAGGAATATTCAAAAATAGTCGAAAAATAGTCTGGGGACGATTTTTCTACTATCCTTGATCATTTTGAAGTATGTTTGGACAATTTTTTAACTTTTCGTCCAAAATCCGCCTGTAGGGGGACAGGTCCGACCTAACATTACTCCGAGTTTCTTAATAGGCGTCGGGGGGGCGTCACCCCCGCCGAAAGCCCCACATCGACCCCCGTCGCGGGCAGCCACCGCGCGCCGAAGGCGCTCCGACCCCCGTCGCGGCGCCGGCGCGGCGACAAGGCGAGGTTGACCCCCGTCGGGGGGGTACCCCCCACGCTTATGGAGAAACCCAGGGTATGTAACAAGCATTGCTGAGCCACCTCGCGTGACCCTCTCCGCCCCCAGCTTTCATATTGAAGAAGCGTTCCCGGAGAAGCGGGACCAGAGAAATTTTGAACCCAACATCTCGATCGCAACATCTGCAATTTTTACCGCCAGGGGGTGGAGGGAGAAATTCTTGACGCTCCGCGCATCCCCAACAGCCTTCGCTGACGGTGTCGCCCCCCTCTCATGTGCAAGGACGGGCTTCAGCCGAGCGCCAGTGAGCCATGGTGAGTGAGGCCGTTCTCTGTGCCGCCTTTCCTTTTTCTTGATGATGCTGTGTGCCCCGGCTGACGTCCGCACCGGCTTTCTTGTCCCCTTCTTGGCCTCGCTTCCGTGTGTCGTTCGGCCGGAGACAGGCGCCGCCAGGGCGACTTCTCCTTGCTGTTCCAGTACCGTTCCAGTGCTGAGGGCCGCGATCGTCCCCACCCGTTGGGATGCCTGGCTCGATCACCCGGCCAAGCTGTACCGCCGTTGCCGCCGGGTGCGCCGTGGCGTCCCCACCCGCCGGGATGTCAGCGCCGGACTTCGGTGTTTAATTTGGGTAATTTTGTCCCTTGCGTGTGCATGCGCCTCTTCAGCTAATTATCTTCGGTTCGCGCCCCGTTCGATGCCCCGCTTCTTGACCTTCGCCAGGGAACCGCCAACAGAAAAAAAAACATCCCCAACAGCCCATCCAGAAACAGACCGCCGGGTGAGTTGCCTTGATGAGGGACGTGCAGAAACATGCAGCGGAACAACCACCTTGAAAGTGTTTCGGGGGTGCTGAAATAGTGGGAACGTTTGAATTGTGTAACGAATGTTCCCACGGCGCGGCATCCTCATTGAGGTCTTCTGTGGTCCTTCTCGGAGTTATCTTGAAACCCTCTCGGGGTGGGGAGGCGAGTTTGGGCAGCGGAAGGAGGAAAAAGGGAAGGAGAACGGGAGGAGGAAGAAAGGCAGAAGAGGATGATCCAGTAGATTGATAAGGGAAGGAGAAGGAGACGACGATAAAGACGACGACGGCAGCGACGAGTCAACCAGGAAATCGTCGCCGCGGAATTGAATTTTCGCTCCGCGATCCTCTTGGAAGCCTACTGGAAACCCCCTTGCAAAGCCCCTGCAAAGACCCTGGCAAGATCCTTGCAACGACCTGGTGAGCACCCTGCAATGACCCTCCAAAGACGAAAGCGCAAAAGCATGGATTTTCTTTAGGTTGTTCAATGGTGTGTGCTTACTAGGACCCTCTTGGGGCTCCCTTAGTGCGTCTTGGAACTCCGGGGGGGGGGTCTGGGAGGCCTCTTGGGATCCTCTTGGGCTTCATGGCTCAAAGGGGAAGGGGGATTAATTTAGACCCCCCCCGGAGGCTCAACAGTGGCATGTTGGGGCTTTCTTGGGCCGCTCTTGGGCGTGTCTTGGGCGTTTTTGGTCTTGGGGCCCTCTTGAACCCCTCTTGGGGCTGTCTTGGGCCGTCTTGTTGCCATCTTGAGGTTTCAAAAGCCCATCGGAAGCGAGAAAGCAACAAACATGGTTGTTCCTTAGGTAATTGATGGATTCGGGCCTCTCAGGGGAGTCCTAGAGCTCGGAGGCATCTTGAGTTATTTTGAGCCATCTTGGTTGCCATCTTGGGGTTTCTGATGCTTTCTTGGAGCCATATGAGATCATCTTGGACGCTCTGACCGTTCCGTCCCCCCCCCCTTCCTAGGCCCAGTGGAGCGGGAGGGAGGGTGCTAACACCCCCCCCGAACAGGGGGAGGAGGGAACTTCTGCAGAGAAAAAACGAAACTCGTTAAACCACCCACGCCCAGGATTTGTTCCTGCAAGTTGCAAAGCTGGTTATTTCAACCAGACGTCGCGGGATCTTGTCGACGCCGCTCTTGGTGATGGTCCATACGGCCGTCTCCGATTTACGAGAGGATGATGCACGATGCGACGATGACCATGATGGACAATGACCAAGATCGACACCGACGTTTCCGCGCTCAGCCTTGGTCATGGTCCTCGTTTCCTTTCCCCTCATTCCCGTTTCTCCCCTTCCGAATAATGTTTCGCCCTTTGTTTCTCCCTCTTCCGGAACACGCCCTCCATATGGAGGGTTATAGACATGGACGGGTTGTATCGTTCGCGTGTTGTTGTCGTTGACGTGTTACCCGTTCTTAACCCGAGAGCCTCCAGGGGCTTCCGTGAGTTTCCTAATGGGGTTGGGCAATTCGCAAGGTGCAGGCTTGTGCGGGAAGGTTTCTAGGCCGTCCAGGGAATTTCTAGCGGCTTCAGAGCTATTTTTCGGGCCTCGGTGAGATTCATAGGGGTAGTCAGTCTTCCGAGCTTGAACTCCCCAGGTAGGCCTCCGAGCGGCCACTTGAGAAAACACGGCAGGTTGGCAATTACCTAACAGCGAAGACTGATAGGTTTCCAGTAGAATATCATGACTCTCCAGGGGGGTCAAGACGGGATCCGGACGGGTGCCGGGGAAAACCGGGGACTCCCCAGAACATTATCCCAGGCCACATTTTGACTGCCCTGAGCGCACAGAACACCATTCCCAGGCCATGTTTTGAATGCCAGGAGCCAACTGTAGGCCACTTCGTGTTCTTCATGTTCCCAGAACATAATTCCCAGGCCACATTTTGAATGCCCGGAGCCAACTGTAGGCCACTTCGTGTTCTTCGTGTTCCCAGAACACCATTCCCAGGCCACATTTTGAATGCCCGGAGCCAAACTGTAGGCCACTTCGTGTTCTTCGTGTTCCCAGAACATAATTCCCAGGCCACATTTTGAGTGCCCGGAGCCAACTGTAGGCCGCTTCGTCTTCGTGTTCCCAGAACACAATTCTTGTACCATATTTTGATTGCCCGGAACCAACTGTGGGCCACTTCGTGATATTCGTGTTCCCAGAACACCAGTCTTGTGCCATAATTTGCAGGCTGAGGTCGAGGCAGGCTGAGGCTGAGGCTGAGGCACGCCGAGGCAGGCTGAGGCTGAGGCAGGCTGAGGCTGAGGCCGAGGCAGGCTGAGGCTGAGGCTGAGGCAGGCTGAGGCTGAGGCAGGCTGAGGCTGAGGCAGGCTGAGGCTGAGGCTGATGCAGGCTGAGGCTGAGAGGCTGACGCTGAGGCTGAGGCAGGCTGAGGCTGGGGCCGAGGCAGGCTGAGGCTGAGGCTGAGGCAAGCCGAGGCAGGCTGAGGCTGAGGCTGAAGCTGAGGCAGGTTGAGGCTGAGGCTGAGGCTGAGGCTGAGGCAAGCTGCGGCTGAGGTAGGCTGAGGCTGAGGCTGATGCAGGCTGAGGCAGGCAGAGGCTGAGGCTGAGGCTGAGGCTGAGGCCGAGGCAAGCCGAGGCAGGCTGAGGCTGAGGCTGAGGCTGACAGGCTGAGCTGAGGCTGAGGCTGAGGCAGGCTGAGGCTGAGGCCCAGGCCGACACAGGCTGAGGCTGAGACTGAGGCTGAGGATGAGGCCGAGGCAAGCCGAAGCTGAGACAAAGTGAGGCTGAATGGGGGGGGGAAGGGGGGGGAGGAGGGGAGGCTATGGCAGGCTGAGGCCGAGGCAGGCTGAGGCCGAGGCAGGCTGAGGCTGAGGCTGAGGCAAGCCGAGGCAGGCTGAGGTTCAGGCTGAGGCTGAGGCTGAGGCTGAGGCAGGCTGAGGCTGAGGCAGGCTGAGGCTGAGACTGACGCAGGCTGAGGCCGAGGCAGGCTGAGGCTGAGGCAGGCTGAGGCTGAGGCTGAGGCTGATGCAGGCTGAGGCCGAGGCAAGCCGAGGCAGGCTGAGGCTGAGGCTGAAACTGAGGCAGGCTGAGGCATCCGTAGGAATCCATAAGAATCCTTAGGAATCCCTAGGAATCCTTAGGAATCCGTAGGCATCCTTAGGAATCCGTAGGCATCGTTACGCATCCTCAGGACTCCGTAGGAATCCTTCGGATTCCTAAGGAATCCTTAGGAATCCATAGAAATCTGGATTCCTAAGGATTCCTATGGATTCCTAAGGATGCCTAAGGATGCCTTAGGAATCCCTAGGAATCCTTAGGATTCCATTGGATCCTAAGGCCGTTGCCACTGCGACCGTCATTGCGAATGCGACTGCGACTGCGAGAACAGCAGAATTCTACAACTGGATTCTCACCTGAATATTAAGAGGAATGCTTCCAGATATGCTCTTGCACATCGCTGTTAGGTTGCTTTGCCGGGGTAATATGTTTCGTCTGTGTCGTAGGTGCGCCCGCCAGGGCTTCCAAGCAACAAGAACACACCATGTTTGCATGCCACCTCGAATCACAGTTGGGACGTCCATGATTGAGGTTGGACATGTCCAGCTACTTGTGTGAGTGAAAAGCGCACGCGTGTGAGACGGAGGCTTATGCCAATCAAAACGTTACACCTGGGGATCGTTGTGACAATTGGATCTGGCATGGGCATGATGGTCTTGAGCTGTGGTTGCACATCATGGGATGGGGTAATGGAGCGTCACTTGGCGACAGTCCTTTTCTGCAATGATCCAGCATGTCGGTGGTCACATGTTCGGTCCAAGGGAGACTACTGCAGCATCGCTCCATATCGCTTCTTTGACGAGGTCAGAGGCCGCCTGCGGTTGTGGCTAGCCCGCCACATTGGCGGCCGTGCGTACGCGAGGCAGTGAGGACCAAGTTGTGGAGCGATTTTATCCTGGTGCAGGTGAAGGAGGACCGGCGCTGACAAAGTCTCTGTCTCTCTTCTCTCCCTCCTCATCCTTACCCTTATCCTCCTTCCCCCTTCTCCCGTTGCCTACTCGCCTCGTTCTTGATGCTTGAGCTGCGGCATCTTCTTGGTGGGTCTCTTTGGCCACGGCCCCGCCATCGTGGCTCGACCCTCACCGCTCACCCTCGTTCCGCCTGCGAACCGCCAGTCCCAGCCCTCTGGGGCCGCCCCCCCGCTGGTGGACGCAGCACAGGCCTGCTCGGTGCTGAGGCGCGTGGCGCGGCACAAAGGGCGCGGGGAGGACTGGACGCTGGGGCACCTCTTCTACTGGGCCTTCAAGTGCGTGGCGGACTCCCCTGACGCGGAGACCAGCGCTCGCGAGGAGGCGCACCGGGGGGGGCATCCGCGCGCAATCCAGGGGGGGGGCCCAAGCCTCGCCATTCAGGAGGGAAAAAAACACACAGACATAATTCATCGTCGATTCCTATGAAAACATGCGAAAATATGGGAAGTGGGGGAGAAGACAGAAACCCCGAAAACATGCGGAAATTTGGGGAATGCTGGGATTTGCGTGCGTATATTTATTTGTGTGCTCGTGGGCCCCTTCATCCAGGCCCCCCGCCTCCTCCGCTCTCCCTCCCCCTGCTGCCTCCTCCTCCCAGGTCTGGGGAGACGCGTCGTCTGGACTGGATGGACTTCCCCCCTTTGCCGTCGGTGCGGGAGTCCGGCTCCTCGGCTTCTGCCTGGCCCTACCTCGGGGCGGACGGCCCCACGGCGAAGCAACGGGCTGATGTTTCCCTCCAGCCGCTTCGATCCGCAGCGGCGCTGGCGCCTGACGTTTTCCGTCGCGCCTTTTTTGCGGTCCCGCCTCCGTGCGTGCGGGGTGATGTGGCTCAGCCTGAACTCGACGTGCTGCCCAGCGAGATCACCGCACAGCCGTTCCGCCAGCTTCTCCGAGGCGGGAACTTATGCATGACCACCGCCTGGAGGATCAATGTTTGGGGACCGCGGCAGGCGGTGGACATGGACAACGTCCCCGTCTCGCAAGCTTCCGCCGCTGGAAGTGCAGTTCGAAGAGGTCTCCAGCGAGAGCCCCAGTTTGGAGAGGACCCGGGCCTCCATCCCTGAAGCGGTTGCGGGCGTATTGGCGACGAGCGCGTGCGCGGCGCGACGGCGGGGGGCCCCGTCTCGAAGAGGAGCCGCCTCCATCCCCTGCACGCGGTGCAGGCTTTTGACGGCGAGCGTGCGCGGCGCAAAGGCGAGGGGCCCAATTGGAAACCACCCCTTCCCATCTTTATAGCCGTCGCACTCCAAATCCCTTATCGATCGTCCCCCTGGTCCGGTTTCTTCACGGTGCCTTTTTTAACTTGGGGGGTCCAGTTTAGTAGGGCGTGTTCTTTGGATTGGAGCTTAGGTGGTCTGGTTTATTAAGGCGCCCCGTCGAAGAGGGGGGTCCGGAATATTTGGTCGCATTTGGAGGGGGGTCCGGTTTTTTAGGGGGGGTCGATTAGTAAGGGATTTGGAGTAATCTTCTGGGGCGAACATGCGCGGCGCTACGGTCCGTGCAGCTGCTGCGAGTGTTGAGCCTCGAGGGCCAGAAGTGCCCGCCCTGCAGACACGCCTGGGGGTGCAGCAGGGAGGAGTTGCCGATGAGGAAGAAGAATGAAGGAAGAGGGGGAGGAGCTGGAGGGGGCCATGGTATCTCCTCCCCAGAGGGACCGTCCATGCTGCGGGTGTCCTCCGGCGGCGCATGGCGCCGTCGGATGGGGGCTTCCATGGTCTGGTTGGCTCCCGCCCTCTGTCCCCCCCCCCAAGGGTGACCTCTGCGTGATGTCCTGGCGTCGATTTATTTGTTGTTGATGGGCTGCTTGGATTCGGGCCCCGTTCGGAGATAGATCTGGCCCGTTCATTTTCGCACAAAGTTGGGGTCTAGGGCATTGGTCGTGATGTCTCACGACGTAGCGTTTTGCGCGACGTCGGATCTCATAGCCTCACCTCGCGTCTTTCACTTCTCGATCGCTTCGCCTCCTGCGTCCGACGTCGCAGCGGTCCGTTCTCAGAGCCGCCCCCCCCTCCTGAGGAGGCTCTTCCTGAAGATTTGTCGATGACGATGGCGATGACGACGACGACGACAATGACGATGACGATGACCATGACGACTATCGTCATCGTCATCGTCATCGTCGTCGTCGTTTCCTCCCCAGACCTCTGACGGCTCGATGCTGCTCGGGCCGCTGCTCGATGAGGAGGAGGAGGAGGAGGAGAAGGAGGAGGAGGAGTAAGCGAGGAGGAGGAGGAAACGAGGAGGAGGAGGAGGAGGAACCTGTCCCAGGCCTCTGACGGCTCGATGCTGCTCTGGCCGCCAGCCTTTCTGGGGCCCTCGAGCCCCTTTATGCTCTCAGGGCCGGCCCTTCGATCCGCATCGTGTCATTGGACGGCCCAGGGCGAAGTCGGGCGTGTCCCTCTACAGGAGGAATATTATGGGGAGTATGTTTGGACATGTTTTGATAATTTTTAGATTTGGTTTGATTGTTGACGGATTATATTTGATTGCCTTCGTGCTTGGACGGCCCAGGGTTCAGTCGGGCGTGTCCCTCTACAGGGAAGATATTCGAAAATAGTAAAACAAATACTCTGGGGACAATTGTTGGATTATTTTCGGCTATTTCTGTATATTGTTGGAGTCTCTTTTCTTTTTCGTACAAAGTCCGTCTGTAGGAGGACATGCCCGACCGGGCCCGGGGCGGGCTTGCCGCGAGGCCGAAAGCGTGGGAGCGTCATCGTCGCGGTGGGTCTGTGACGCCTGGGTTCCTGGCCCCTCCCCCTTGTCGAGCACGTGTCCCGCAGTAGGGGCGTGTCCAGGGGCGCGTTCTGGCCATGATGTCGAGACGGGCCCAGTCGTTGTTACACGGCCGCCCCGGGCAGCCCCAAGAAGCATCAAGAATGTCAACCTGAAGCAGCAACACATTGACCTTCAACCTCCATGTCGGAAGGGGTCAGGGTCGGAAGCGCTCCTGGGATCTTATCCATTCGGGACGCCAGTCCTTGCTCGACGACATTGCAGTCGAAGTTAGGGGGATAGGCTCGGGGGGGGAAGGCCCGAAGCAGACTCGGAGGAAACTTCTTCCCTGCGTGAGTGCAGGGCGGCCTGATGCAAAAGCAGGTCTGTCTGATGTTCAAGTCATCGGTCTCCTCCCTGGCGGCGCCGCACGTCGTCGTCGTCGTCGTCGCGGGGGTCGCTCTTGTGGTCCCTGCCGTCCCGCCACGCCTCATGACGTGCTACTGTTTCATCCCTCCGCTGCATGGTGTCCTGCCAGCCTCTCCGTGCGCGCCGCGCGCCTTGGATCGCGATGAAGGAAAGGAGGTTCGGTTGATGGACAGCATCCTGCACCAGCCGCGCAACCAGGGCGATGGCGCAAACTTCCACGCGCCCCCCTGCCCACGATTCAATGTTGACCGGCTGCGCCCGCGGGGTGCAGGATGTAGGCCCGTCGGCAGATCGACAAGTCGCGCCACAGCCTGCCAATATTAGATCGGGGGCGCGGGGGGCGAAAGCAAAAATCTCCAAAAAAGGTGTAGGACTACACGCCAGTCGTTGACAGTAGGCATCTTTGGATATCCCAGACCCCAATCTCTTTCAAGCGTCTTCCTACGTCAAGAATCGGCATGCTGTTGTTGTGTTGTGTTATTCTCTGGGAGGACCTGAACCCAATCCACTACATCCGCCTTCCTACTTAATGTTTCTACCTACTTCTTCCGACCGACGTGTACGATTCTGGAGGATCGCGGGCCCTGGGCCCCGCGGCGAGCCACGGGGCCAGCTCCGCCCCCCACACCGCTTCCTCACAGCCCACAGGGGCCCGCGGAGGGCCCACAGAGGCCCGAGAGCGGCCGAAAACGCTCAGGACCCCTGTCCTCCAGGTTTCCTCCTCCTCCTCCTCCTCCTCCTCCTCCTCCTCCTCCTCCTCCTCGCTCCTCCTCCTCCTCCATCTCCCCCTCCTCCTCCTCCTCCTCCTCCTCCTCCTCCTCCTCCTCCTCCTCCTCCTTCCTCCTCCACCGTGCATCCTCCAGGGTCCGCGTGTCTGGCATGCCGGACTCTCAGCAGTACGGAGCCGCCCCGTGGGACGGATGCCTGGCCGCCGCTCCCCAGGGGACAGGAGAGCGGCACCCCCGCCACCAGGGGTGCCACCTCCGGCGAGGAGGTCCCCGAGGCCTCCCCGAGCTGGGGATCGGGGTGCCTCGAGCGTGGAGGGGGGCCACCCTCGCCGGCTCCTCGCTCTGGTGGTGGTGGTGCCTGCGCTCCGCTCCGCTCCCCGGCGCAGCCCGCAGGCCAGAGACAAGTGCGCCCAGGTCGCCGGCTTCCTGTACGCCAGGGCGCAGCTACTGGGCGTGCAGGCGCGCGCTCGCGGGCCAGCCTCACCCCGCAAGGGGCGGGGCGCGGCTCTGTCCGCTATAGCCCGTGGGCGGTCTCGTCTGATGCTGGATCGTCAGAGGAGGGAACGATACACATGATTCATTTCGAAGTATTCGAAAGTTCTTTGATTTTCTGGGGGGCCAAGATCCTTTCATTTCTAATTGCTCTATCCTGGGCCTCTTCCTGGCCACTAGGGGGCCAGGAACAATCAGAAACGAGCACGATTGGAAATGAGCACGATTAGAAATGAACGACGTGTACGACTGCGCTGCTCGTCCTGGAGAGCCCTCGTCACCAAAGCTGGATTCTCTTCGAAATTTTGGTCAGAGTGCATCCCAGAGGAGGTCCGCGGAACAGCAGTATAGGTATTTCTGCACCCCCCCCAGAACGGCGAGGTTGGCCCCATCTCCACGGGCCAGCGGACAAGCTTCCTTGATGGAGGACAGCAGCCTGGGCGGAGAGGTAGCAGGACGAGAAGGGAGCGCTTGAAGGAGCAGGGAGCGGAGGTAGGGGCAGGGGGCAGGAGGCGGTGAATGAGGTGGAAACGGAAGGGAGAGCAGGGAGAAGAGTAGCGTCAGGAGGAACGGATGCAGGTTCAGCCCTCCAACGGCCCTAGATCGCCCAAACACGAGAGGTTGTTTCTCCAACCATCATATGGTGCTGGATCTTAATTTTGAAAAGACAGCGCCGCGCATCATCTTCCTCCCTCCTCCTCCCATCCCTGCCTTTGCCCTTCGTAGTAAAAGATTTCGGGACACCCATCACACGTTTCGTGGCCCCATGGGGAGCTCCACTAAAGACCCCAGTGGCAGCGCCCGCGTGCCACCAACGCACCCGTTTGGGCACACCCGTCACACGTTTCGCGGCCCCCTAGGGGGCTCCACCTAAGGCACCCGTGACAGCGCCAGCATGGCACCGCCGCACCCGTTTCGACACACCTTTTACATTATTCGTAGCCGCGGGAAGGGAGCTCCACCGAAAGCCGAAAGCCCCAGCGGCAGCGCCCGCATGGCACCCACGCGCCCATTGCGGCACTCCCCTCACACGTTGCATGGCCTCATAGGGAGCTCTACCGAAGGCCCCCAGCGCCCGCATGCGTCCACCGCACCTGTTTCGGCACACCCGCAGCAGGCGGCCCCATAGGGAGCTCCACCGAAGGCCCCAGTGGGAGCGCCCGCATGGTACCGTTGTGCCAATTTCGGTACACCCCTCACGCAAGGTACACCATTTCGTACCCATGCCGGTGCCATTTCTTATACCTATTTCGGGTGCACCCCGTCGTGGCCCTAGACGGAGCTCCACCGAAGACGACACGCGCAAGCGCGGCCCTGACAACTGCATCTGGTTGGGGTCCTTCGCTGGGACAACTTGTTTCACAGTGTCCGGCCTCCGGGGCCCGTTTTCGGGCCCCCTGGCCTCCAAGAGAACCGGCTCCGAGTGAGTCCGTAGTCATGTTGGCTCGAGCCACTTGTGTTCAAGTCTTCGCACCATGACTGCTCACGAGCTACTTCCGTTGGCGGCATCCGTTTCGACACGCAGCGGCCGCAAACATGGGGCATTTGTGGACCTTCCTCCACCTGATACTTGTTTCACACGGAATGGGCACAACGCAGCGCGGGGCAGGTACAATGGGCGCAAGAGTTGTGATTCACATTGGCCCCTCAAAGACTGGTACGAAATCCCTCCAATCTAGCTTGCAAAATCAGCCGTCTTTGCTCGAAAGTGACGGATGGACGATGCCAACCCCTTCACTATTCCAGGGAAGTTGGGATATATCAAAGCTCTACGACGGGAAGCGTAAGCCAGACAAGACAGTAAGAAAGGTGAGGTCGGATATCATTGCAAATGTCAGAAACTCTACAAGAAGAGCTGTGCTGTCATGTGAACATTTCGCAACCCTCGATGACAAGAGGATCGCAGAATTAGCTTCTGACTTAAACCACATCCCTACTCGCATCGTACTTGTTTATCGTCCCTTTTACGATTTGATCGCAAGCGTTTACAGACAGTTGTATGATGCAGCGACGAAAAAATCACAAAGAGCTTGACTATTTCGCAGAATGGTTGTTCAAACCGATGAATGGAACCACAGTGATGGAGAACCCGATACGAGGGCTCATGACGTCTGTCTACAGTCGATATGCGCCCCATTTTCCTGACGTAGAGGTTCACGAACGTGGTCCCGATCTTATGACCGATATCGCATGCGATGACCTAAATGCTACAAGGACTTGCGGTGCTTTCCTGGGAGAACAGATGGCAAAGAAGCACGTCAAACGCAGAGGGCCTACTTCGGGCGAGTGCCTCAGCCCTCTGCAGTTACGGCAGTTGGAAAACATTTCAATTGCCTTGCACCAGGAGGTGTTCGGCATAACGTCAAGTTCTCCGACGTCGGATTTCAATGCCATGGCGTTGGATTGCTTCGGCAACTGACCGCATCAACGCGATCTCAACTGGTCGACGGTTCGCCCCCCTGACGGGTGCAGTTGATCGGCGCCTGTCGACGCCCTTCTTGATGATTTACCAGACCTGGCCAGAAACAAAAACACGGCTCCGAATGACAGCTGCTCTCCGGGAGGGGTTCGAGAAGCCGAAGGTGCCGCGGCATCATAGGTCTGGGGGCAAGATCGGGAGAAGGAGGGGGGGACAGGGGGATTGTGTCTTTCTTGTGACGCCTTTGGTGTTTGCTGTGCCTCCGTCGGACGTCTTCCCCGTCGTGTAATCAAGCCCACAGCGGGCTACTCCTTCCTTGTCCCTGCCGCTCTCACCAATCATCCCCACCTCCATTTTCAGGTCGGGGTTCGTGGCAATATCAGGTTTTGTGGCGCCTTTGGCGTTTGCTGTGCCTCCGCCGGCTTCCGAGGACCCCTCCAGGGACTTTCAGAGGCCCCGGGGTTTCTTTCCGAGCCCCGAACGCACTCGGGGGCCGCTGGGGGCTGTCGCGGGACCGTTTGGTCGCCCGGCAGGGGCGTCCAGGAGGTCTCGACGGCTTGGGGAATGCTCTGCAAGGGCGTCTGTCGGGCCGGACGAAAGGGGGGGATTGGGAAGGGGGGGGGTACGAAATCTGCTGCATGCAGCTGGTTTCGGCCCCACCGAGGGGCCCATTCCTCGATACATGGCCGCCTCCCGGCGACGGGAGGCGCCGGGAAAATCAGCTACGTGAGCTGATTCTCAAACCCCCCCTTTGCTATCCCCCCCTTTCGCCCGACCCGAGGGGGCTCCAGGCCGTAGACAGGCTAACGATGTTCTCCGTAATGGCATGGTCGAGTTCGGCACTGCAGGCCGGATTTTTTTGTGGCTGCCTCAAATGAAGGAGCGTGGGCGTCGTGTTTTCCTACGATTGGTTGTAGCGTTCTCGCTCGATACATTAGTATACCGTAAGGGCTTCGCACCTTGCTGCCGGCCCCCCATCTCGGAGAAGGGGGTATGCAAGAGCTGTATTGTGAGGCTTGGGCATCGTCGTGAAGCAGCACTGGAACTCCGAACGGGGGCCACTGGAGTCACTGGAGATATGAGCGTGCCAAAATCTATCAAACCGAAGGACATCGCAGATGTTGGCCTCTTGGGTTCCTCTTGGGGCTGCTCTTGAAGCGCTCTCAGGGGGCCTCTCGGGAGCCTCTTGGGCCGTCTTGTGACCATCTTGGGCGCCTTGGAGCACTATTGGGCCGTCTCGGAGGCCTCTTGAACCGCCTTGGGGGCCTTCTATGAAGGATTGTGGCCTCGAAAGCGCGAACATCGCATATATCCTAAGGCTGCTGCCTCTGCCGCCGACCCCAAAGAAGGCTGTGGGGTCCCATAGGGGTGTTCGTGGAATGCACGGGAGGCCGAGATGTGTGGCATCCCTCTTCTTCCAGGCTTGCATGAGCCGTGACATGTGACGCGCCCTGTCGCAACGTGTCGGTGCGTCGTCCCTCCGTGGCTTTGAAGCCGCGACCTCGGCTCGGAGTTCGAAGACCGTTTCATGTGCATCCAGCGGTTCACGGGCGTCCGCCGGAGGCTGGATTGCCTTCGACGTTACAGGCAGGATGCGTGTCAGACGGACTGGTGGGGGGAGAAGCACCGATCAAATACGCCGACGACGCCAGAAGGAGTCGGCGGACTCCTCGGGCACGTTGTTGCTGAGCCGGCTCTTCATCTTGAGTCGTCTTCTGGCGGTCCCAGGGCTCGCTGAGGGCCCCTGGTGCCCGCAAGCCGCGAGGAACCACCGTCCTGATTTTTTTCAAGACGTCGGAGGTCTAGGGCCCCAGCTGGCCTGCCGCCGCCGCCTGCAGCCGCCGCCGCGGCCGCTGAGGAGGAAGAGCAGGAGAAAGAGCAGGAGGGAGATGAGGAGGAGGAGGAGGAGGTTTCTCGAGGGCTCTCCCCAGGGCTTTCCCCGGGACCAGCGGTTCATCTCGAGTCGTGTTCGGCAGTCCTGGGGCCCGGGCAGGGACGAGGGGGAGGAGGAGGAGGAGGACGAGGAGCAGGAGGAGGACGAGGTGGAGCGACGAGGATGATGAGGAGGAGGAGGAGGGGGAGAAGCAGTCGTCGACGGCGACGTCGATGACGTGGATGGACGTCGTCCACGACGTCGAGCGACGTCGAGCGATGACGTCGACGAGGTCGACGTCGACGACGACGCCGTCGAAGGATGAGAAGGAGGAGGACGAGGAAAGAAAAGAGAGGAGGAGGAAGAAGAGGAGGGGGAGGGAGGAGGAGGTGGTAAAGGAGGAGGACGGGCGGGCGGAGGAGGAGGAGGAGTAGCAGCAGGAGAGCAGGAGGAGGAGGAGGAGGCGGAGGAGGAGGAGGAGGCGGAGGAGGAGGAGGCGGAGGAGGAGGAGGAGGAGGAGAGGGAGAGAGGCTGAAGACGCGAGGGGGATCCAAGACAGCCCAAGAGACCACCGCCAGGGCGCAGTTGTGCGGTGCTTTCCTCGCCGCGGGCGTTCGAGGTTGAACGCCGTCGGTGGCCCAGAATCGCCCCACGCCGAACGATCCGTCGTTTCGGAGACGGCCGATCGTTCGAGGTTGAACGCTCACCGCGGACTGAGGAAACACCGCCAGGGCGCAGTGGTGAGATGCTCTTAGTGCCGAGGTGGTGGGGTGTCCTGGGGCCCCGCTTTTCGTTCGTAGTGTCGTCCGCCGTTACTTGGGACACCTCATAGTTGGTGTGGCTTCCCATGAGATCCACCGCAGGAGCCCCTCCAAAGCTAGGACCTGCAGGCCCACGTTGCAGTTTCTGTGTCTTAAGTGTGGGTGTTGGTCTCAGCGGTGTGCTCGCGGACGAGTGTACGCGCCCTTCCCGCAAAAGGAGCCGAAGTTTTGTCGAAGTACGCCCAAGGTCTTGGGCCGAGTAACCGTGCACTCCATTTTATTGATCGTGCTGCCCGTGCTCACCACCTCCCCCCTCCGTCTATGGGCCCGCGTGTGCGGACCCGCACGACGGTCCCGATAGTGTTTCAGGCGGAGGGTGACGGGGCTCCAGAGCACGAGCGCCGAATGTCGGCGCTGAAGGCTCGTATCGCCGCTCGTGAAGCGAAGACTGATGAGCTGTGATTTCAGTGTTTCAGTTCGGTGGTGTGCCCTGTCGCGGCCCTGGGCGGAGTGTCGGGAGCTCCGCCCCAGGGTAACACGTGTCCCCTCTGAGGGGCACCCCGCCGAGTAAGACTTGCGAGTCTCTTCCCCCTGGGGCTGTTCTAATCTAACCTCCTCCTCCTCCTCCGCTGGTCGCGGGTGTGGCGCCCCCGCCAGCCTTCAGGGGACGGCCCTGAGCATCAGTCTTGGGGGTCATGCATTAAACCGAAACCACTTTGGGGCGTTGCAAAATCCGAATTCATTATACATCTGTCAGGAGGGGGGAGGAGGAGGAGGAGGAGGAGGAGGAGGAGGAGGAGGAAGAGGAGGAGGAAGAGGAGGAGGAGGAGGCGCAAGACCCGCGAGGCAGCAGGGGCGGCCCGGCAGGGGCGAGGACAGGAGAGAGGAGGGCCGGTCGGAGGCGTTGGCTGTCGGTTTGGCGGTGGTCGCCGTGGTGACGGCGCTGTCGTGCTGTTAGTGGTCGTGGTCACGGTGCCTGTCGGTGGTTGCCGCGCCGGCGGTAGTTGAGCTGACGGCAGCGCGCTTACCGCCCCACAGCCGCCAAGATGGCCTCGGCGCTTCCGAGGTGCAGCGGGTCCGACATCCGGTTCAATCCAGCTCAATTTCGCTCCATCCGGCTAAGTCCCGCTGAATCCCATTTGATCCGAGGCCCACTCCGGTGTAACAGCCCCCAAAATAGTCGGCTTAATCCTCGTTAATCCGTCCGACGAGGCCCTCCCAGTAGTTGCGTCTTAACGCTCTGACCCCCCTGCCAACCTTGCCGTCCCGCCTCTCCACTCCCGCCCCCTTCTCGCGTCCCTCCTCGGCCACTGCACCTTTGCAGGGCTGAGCTCCTTGCCCAGAAGTCCATGGGAGGCCCAGCCGTGGCGGCGAGACGCCTCCTGAAGGGCCCCCAAGGGGGCGGAACCCCCAAAAAGTGCCTCTCCAACTTCCTTCCTGCTCCCCCCAGTCCCCCCCCGCCAGTACAAAGAACTTCTCGCGCACTTCGGCCATCCTTCACCTATCCCTCCCCAGCCGAATTTTGTTTTCGTCAGCGGCGAGGCGGCGAAATCCGCTCCAGCGAAAGGCTGGATAGGGGCACTAAGTGGGGAGTTGGCCGGCGAGCCACGAGGGGTAAGGGGGACGGCCCCTCACCCCCTGATTCCTCCCCGCCGTGCCCCCCCCCCCCCGGCCGCCCGTGGCTCGGCGCAGCTGCTCCTGGAGTCCGCGAATGACGCGGCGAGACACGGGTCGGCGCAGCCCAAGGCGGCCCCGCCCACGCGCTTGGCTTCGGCCGGCCCATTGGGGATGGAGGTGCCATCTCTTCCTCGGCGGAAGGTTGGCGGAAGTAGAACAGAGCCGCCTCCGCGGGCGGAAGCCAGCGGAAGGGCGGCGGAAGGTTGGCGGAAGTAGAACAGAGCCGCCTCCGCGGGCAGAAGCCAGCGGAAGGGCGGCGGAAGGTTGGCGAAAGTAGAACAGAGCCGCCTCCGCGGGCGGAAGCCCGCGGAAGGGCGGCGGAAGGCTGCAGGAAGTAAAACAAGGGCGCTTCCGCGGGCGGAAGCCCGCAGAAGGGCGGCGGATGGCTGGCGGAAGTAAAACAAGGCCGCCCCCGTGGGCGAAAGGCCACGGAAGGGCGGCGGAAGGCTGCGGAAGGAAAAAGCAGGGCGGCATTCTGGTCCGACCGATCTGATTCGATATCGATTTTCGGACGTTGGTTTGGGGGATCCTCTTGGGGCCCACGCAACAGATCTATTCGAGTCCGGCTTCATTCAAGTTCGACTCAAGTCGACGAACGCCCGACGCAGCTTCGACGCAGGAGTTGGGTTCCGGGAAAGTCCCCAGCATGAGCATCTTACGGTTTCGGCCAGCCCGATCCGACTCCACTTGATATTCCGATGGTCCGATGCAGCCCAATGTTTAAGAGGCGCTGTAGTGCGCAATTCGGCGCAGCCGACCCGATTCGATTCCGATTCAGTGCCGGTGCAGCCCCGTCCGATGGGACCCCCTTCTGTGCATCGACGCCCTCCACGATAGCCCCAAGAGGCGCCGCATGGCTCCAAAGAGGCCCCCAGGAGAGCCCCAAGAGAGCGCCGAGATCCTGTACAGGGGAGGCGACAAGCCTTTGACCTCCTATTCCTCCTCCTCCTCCTCCTCCTCCTCCTCCTCCTCCTCCTCCTCCTCCTCCTCCTCCGTCTCCTCCTCCTCCTCCTCGTCCCCCCCCTCCGCAGCCATGTTGGCTCAAGCCGTATCGGCTCAGGGTGCTCTGCGCGACCCGCTCGGCCTGGCGCTCCCCCCGACCCGTTCTCCGGGCCTTCCTGCTCCCGCCTCCCCGCGGCCCGCCGCGGGCGCCTACCTCCCCGCCGCCCCGCTATTCCGCCATGGCTGGAGTGATGGCGCCCGCGTCGCCGCCAGACAACGAGATCCTCCTTGCGTTCAGTCCATCGCCTCCTCGGCCCAGGGGCCCGCACGCATTCCATTGGGGCGCCGGCGTGCTTCCGACCCAGAACGCGAGCCTCCAGGATATCGTTCTGCGGGGTTTCACCACGCACGCTGCTGAGTTTGAGCTGCTCGGGAGCAAGAGGTCGACCCTCGGTTCAAGCTTCGATCGCATGCAGGATGACTTCGCGAGGATGGCAGCGCGTCAGGAGAACGCTTCGCAGAGAACGCTTCGCAGACATCAAGCATGTCCAGGACCACCCACCAGGTAGTGATCGACATGGATACGAAGCGCGCGCCCATGTCAAAGGACATCATCCCCACTGGAATGGTTAGAGGGCAGCGATCTCGCCAGGTGCTTTGGCTCGCGCCGACTCGGAGCTGGAGATCGTGGGGGGGGGCGTGAAAAAAGGGCGTCGTTGGAATATTTTGAAGATTTCAAATCCAGACCAGGCCAGCGCCACGCGTCTCATCGCGTTCGGGTTCGAGGAGCCACTCCTTCAGGCCTCGTTGAAGGATGCTGCCCAGCCCATTGTTGCACAGCGCAGCATAGCGGGGGAAGAGCCGATCGTTCGCGAGACCTCGCTGACTTGGAGGGTGATCCGCGACTTCCCATCCACCCTTGCGCGTTCCGCTTTCTTCGGGGAGAGCCAGCGCATTGGCGAGACAGTTCACCAGAAACTTGTCGACGTTGTGCGCCCTGAACTCCCCCCCTGCTAGTCGGGCGGTCTTCTACTATCTCGACGAGGCCAAGATTCTCATTGGCAAAGTGTTAGGCGAATTCCAGGTCGGGGGCAACGCATTCGGAGGGCAGATCCACGGTCTCTTCACCCTGGCGCACCTAGTCGCCGCGGCGAGGGTCACGATCTCTGAGTCTGGCGTGCCAGCCTCCTGCTCGGTCCTGAGCAGTCTTTGTGAAGAGGCCCGCGCGGGCGGCACCCGAACGCTTCCTGACCAAATTCGCCCCGTTGCGTGAAGGGGCCAGTCCGTCCAAGGCGTACCTTTTCCTGTGCAAGATTTTCTGCGCCGCCTGCACGCCGCGCCCTCCGGCCGCCTGGGGCCCCGCCCGCCCGCGCCCTGTCTCCCAATTGGTGCTTTGCGCGGCCCGCCTAGCTCTTAACCGGAAGAGGCTCGCTCTCGACCCGCAGACCAAAAAGAAGGGGCCCGTCCTCCTGGAGCATCCGGGCTTGGGACCTCGGGCGCTCCGCCTGGCCCTGGTTTGGGCGCTCCTCGCGGCCCTGGTCTTCCGTCGGGTGGAAGGCCGTCTGGGACGGGCCCCGCGGCGGGCGTGCCCCCGGTCTGACAGAGTGGGGCTCGGTCAGCCAACGTCAGATAGAGCTTGAAGTCGGGAGGTGGGTTCACACCTTGCGATCCTGCCTCTTTTTCGTTTGTTTTGTTGCTTCCCCCTCTCAGTTTGTTTGTTTCTCTCTTTCTATTTTTTTCTCTTTCTCTCTCCCTCCCTCTCTCTCTTTCTCTCTCCCTCCCCCTCTCTCTCTGCCTCTCTCCCTCTCTTTCGTTCCCTTTCTCTCTCTCTTTCTCTCTCTCTCTCTCTCTCTTTGTTGTTTCTCTCTCTCTCTCTCTCTCTATGTGTCGCTATCGATATATATATATATATATCATATATATATATATATATATGTTATCTCTCTCTCTCTTTCTCTCTTCCTCTTCCCTCTTTTTTTTTGTTTAAATCTCTCTCTCTCTCTCTCTCTCCTCTCTCTCTCTCCCCCCTCTCGTTCCTCTCGATCCTTCTCTGTCCTCTCTCCCTCCCTCACCCTCCCTCCCCCCCTCTCTCCCTGTCTCTTTCTCTTTCTCCTTTTCGCTCTTTTTTGTTTCTCTCTCTCTCTCTCTCTCTTTCTCTTTGCCTCCCTCTTGTTTTACCTCTCTCTCTCTATATATATATGTATATATATATATATATATATATATATCGATGTATCCCGTTATCATTTCTTTCCTCTCGTTCTCTCCTCGTTGTCTCTCGTTCTTTCTCTACCCCCCTCTCGCCTTTTTGTTGTTCTTTTGGTTGTTCACTCTCTCTTTCTCTCTCTCTCTCTCTCTCTTTCTATCGCTCTCTCTTTCTTTGTTTTGTCGTATCCCTCTCTCTC